GGTGAAAATTTCATGTCATTAGCACCTCTAGTAATATATTTACTGAGAAAAATGGTGACGTGTTCAATACTTATTTTACCCGCTGTATGTAGAGCCCATGTCTGCATTTATGTTTCTGGATGCAGTTCATGTTTGTTCAATTCATTTTTTTAAACTAAAATAGAAAGACAAGAAGCATTAATTCCTTGGGAGATCATTAAACAGCTCATTAAGTTCATTTCCAGTTAATTCCCAAAGAATAAATATTTTTAATCTCCATTTGCATAGCTACCACCTTAAACAGGTCATTGTTGTTTTTTTGTTGTTTTTTTTGCACATGTAACAACAAAAACGCACCTTGGAGTTGCGGAGCGTGACAGAAGCCCCCCGTTCCACCAACAGCCTCGCGACCCTTAAGTTGCCACAAGCCAGGGCGTCGTGCAGAGGAGTCACCCCCTCACACAGGGGCCCGCCGGGGTCGTTGACGTTAGCGCCGCGCTCCAACAGCAAGGCGACGACATCTGCGACACAGCAGAGACACACAATGCAGCAAAAATAACAGCTGAGACCTAAAAGTCTGGAGGAGAATTTAGGAAAAAAACAAAAAAAACAACTTGAAATCTGTTACCATAATGACCGTGGTTGCAGGCCTCGTGGAGAGGAGTCCAGCCACAGTAGTCCCTGGGGTTCACCGGGTGACCCTGATCCACACACAAGTAAAACCAAAACCCGCTGCTTTAGCTGTTCTCTATGTCTAAGATCAATCCTATTAAAAGATTCATAGCTGAGCTGAGCCAATCTCTCCTCATGAGATTAAACAAGACCATGTGTTTTTAATCTGAGGAATATTTAATGAGCTCGAGTCCAACTTCAGCACAGAAACTGAGTTTTACTGCGGATTTACGTCTGTCTGAAACGCAGACAGAATATCTCAGGGTTTTCTCTCCGTCTCACCTGTTCCACCAGATATTGGACCTGTCGCAGGTTTCCATCAATGCACGCTCTGTGCAGAGACGTCTCTCCCTTTTCGTTCCTTTTATTCCACTGAATCAGGGAGACAAAGCCAGACGGATAAAAGTTTAAACATTTAGGAGTTAAAWGTTTAACAAGATCAAACTAAAAAAAAAAAACATTTTCTGAAATCTGAGCGCAGAAGACTGACTTTTTATGAGTTGTTAAAATAAGCAGAACAGAAACTAAAAACATTAGCTAAAGCTTAATTTAACAAAACAATATTTAAAATGTTTGAATGAGCAAAAACACTACWTAAAGCTAAATTTATTTTAAAAAAATGTAGCTAAACGCTTAAAATAAGCTGTAGCTGAAGTAACCAAAACCATTTCTAGAAGTCAAATCAAACAAAACCACAGCTGATAGCTAAAATTACTAAAACTATAGCTAAACGCTAACTGTTAAAACTAAAATAGGCAGTAGCTAACAGTTTAAAAATAATAAAACTAGCTAGAAGCTAACAGTAGCGAAACCATTGCAAAAAGCTAAATTAACCAAACATAGCAGCAGCTAAAAACAAATTTTATGACAGTAACAAAAAGCTAAAAGGAGCACAAGATAAAAACAGATTTAAAAAAAGTTGAAGCCGATTGTTTCTGAAGAAACTCTAGAGATCTCATTTCTATGCAGATTTTTTTCATAAATTAAAAATGTCTAAATTTCAAGAGTTACAAATACCAAAAGTCATATATTTCAGACTGAGCTGAAGGTTTTATACATGCTTAAAACACAAAGTCTGCAGAAGTTGTTTTATCCCAACAAAACATAAACTTTAAGCAGGAAAGCACAGCAGCTGCCTGGAACTCACCCTTCCTGTTTTTCTTCTTCCTGACACCAGCTTGTCGTAACCCTCCAAATCATCATCTGAACACAACACAAGTTACAACAAAATATTAAATTCACCACTCCGTATTTTTGTCTCTACTATCCAGTCCCTGAAGGTTGACAAAGACCTGAGTCTGAGAGAACGACATCACTGTCAACCAGAGGCTCGCTGTCGTCCATCTCCTCCTCTTCATCCTCCTCACCATCACTGCCCTGTGGGTTCCAGCCCTTTGGGGCACACACCTCGTGCAGCCGAGCCTCGGTGTCGTCTGCAGTGGACGAGCCGCTGCGCCTCTGGAAGGCCAGCCAGAGTCTCAGCACCCGTTTCTGTAGGAGTCAACGTGAGCTTTAATGAGGTGTCTGAGTGACAAACTTTGAGAAAAATAGAGTACGGTTTCATTTTCTGACACATTAGCATTAATGAACTCATTTAGCTGGAATACTGTTAATGAATCCATCAGAGCCCAATCTGCACAAAACAGTGCAGGACCCATAGAATCTATACCCAACACCCCAGGTAACAGATCATAGAACAGCCCCTGACCAGTGTGAAGAAGATGCAAACCCCCACTAACCTGCAGTTTGGCCTCCCCAGATGTCTGAGCACAGCGTAAAGCTGTCCTATAGCTACTTTCTATGTCCTCAGCAGGACAGCCACTCTCCTCCTGAGCTGCTGCGATGTTCAGCCACGTGCTGCACTCCTGAAAACACACACGAAACGAGTTACACATGCAAGCACGCACAACAACATAGTGTTACAGTCAGCTGACGAGTCGGCGCRGTATTGTTTCTGTTCTGCATGTTTCTGCAACCAAACTGTACCATTTTAAACATTTATGTCTCAAAGTTCAGCATTTTAAAAATGCACTGAGATCTCTTCATTTCCTTCAAAAACATTGTTCGCTGAAATCTCATTCAATATATTTGCTGTTTTTATTAGCTTTTTATTGTCCAGTTTAGCTTTTAGATAATGCCGTGCTAAATTTAGCTAGTTTGCAAATGTATCTAGAATTAGCTATTAGGTACTGCTTTGTTACTATAGGTTTTAGCTGTGGTTTAGCAATTTTAGCTTAGGTAAAGTGTTGATATCTTCAGCTTTTAGCAACTGTTTTGTTTTTTTTATTTTGGCTAGCTTTACCTAACTGTAGCTTTGACCTACGGATTTGCTAACTTTATCTTTAAGCTACGGGTTTAATGAAAGTATCTTTGACATTTGATTTAGCAAATTTTAACTTTGGTCTATGATTTTGCTATTTTTAACTTAACTACAGTGTTGCCAATTTTAACTTTTTGCTTATAGTTTTGAAAGAAAAAAGTGTTTATTTACCTTATAATGTTTGTAACCAGACAGGAAATATAACGATACATGAATGTTTGACTGTGAAAAGAATTCATTCAACCACCAGCGCTGGACTGAAGGCAGGTTTGTTAGCTCAGTATCTCGTCTCAGCATTCCTCCTTGAAACCAGGAAACACTTCTTCTGGACCTGACTCGGCCTATTGTTATTGCATTATCAAAACGGGCGACACTATAGCTGGAGCCAGAACCTTGTACAGAATTGCTGCCCTAATGTCAAAACAACGGATCAGTTAAGTGTTGGAAGAGAATCAGGCATGTGTCTAATCTAGCATGTACCTTCCACTCTGGGTAACCCTCTGTGACAGCCACTCAGACCAGTCTGTACATAAAATCACCAGTTTAATCACAAATTAATCACACAAAGATTTATAAAACTATTTCATGTTTCACCTAAGAAAGGATTATAAAATGTACAGTGCTTTTTAAAAGTCAGTAGTAAACAAAACAATAAATTTCTTCAGTTTAACAATTCAACTAACAATTCATTCCTCTACAAATTTCAGCAAAGGCTGCCATGATGCAATTTACTTGGCATCTGGAAATACTAGGGATGCACAGATATGAAAATTTCAGCAGATATCAATAACCGATATAATTATTGCTGTTATGGCCGATAACCGATATTTACTGATATTACACAAACACACAAATTATATTATACACATACACACAAACACACTTGGGTCTTAGTTTGATACTGTAAATAAATGACCAGACACTTTAAACTTTACACTTTAAAGACATTCCCCAGAGGTGTTTCTGGTCATAAAAGGCGTTTCTGGTCCTCAGGATTTCTCAAACATGCAGGAGTCAAAGCAAGGCTTTGGGCATGTTTTTTATGAGAGTGTAACATTATAACAAGGTATAAAAC